ATTTTCCCATTTTTCCTTCTCCAATTCAATTAGTTACTTTCTAACAAGCCCTTCACACGTTTTTATCCGACTTCGAAAAGGAGGAAGATACTCAATTCGATGTGTATGTATTTTTTTTTTTTTTATGTATGTTCACCGATTACGCCGAGACGGATAGACCAATCGAAACGAAACATTTTGCATCTGGTAGAGTATGTCTCCCGATTGGTCCCGTTAAAAAAACATTTTGCATTTTTTCATTGTTAACGATTTTTTTGCAAAAAACGTAATGCTTGACTTATTTTTTTCACCAATTGCCGCGAGACGGATGGACCAATCGAATCAAAAATTTTGCATCTTGTAGAGTATATTTCCCGGTTGATCTCGCAAAAAAATGTTTGTATTTTTTCATTCCGAACGACTTATATCGCAAAAAACGTAATACTTCATTTATGTCTTCTGGCGTTTATGCTGCAGGGAATGTACCGATTGCGATGAAACCTTTCACATTTAGTAGGAGGTATATCCGCGATGATATCACTTGCAAGAATTTATTGAATTTGTTAATAACTACTGTTATAGCAAAAAATCTACGCCTTCATGTTACTCTGTAAGGAATGTATCGTTCGCGATGAAACCTTTCATATTTGGTAGGAATTACAGGGTGTCAAGCGACTACCTCGACAGCCGTAGAGGGATGATTGCTAAGGTGATTCTAAACAACTTTTTCCTTTGCCAAATTGTTGGTTAAGGCTTGGTTTGCGAGTTATTAACAAAAAACACCGACCAATACGAGCGCGTACAGCGCGCGGACTCAGGGATTGCAATGTCGGCTATGATTTATATATTTATAAATTAATTTATAAATTAATAAAATAATTTATAAATTAATAAATAATATTAATAAATATTTAATAATATATATACTTTGAAATGTATTTGGTATCCTATTTAACGATTAAGCAGATATTATTAATAGCTATGGAATATTGGTACAAATGAAATAGAAACTATTTGACACTTTTTAGTGCATTTCGAAGTCGGATTTGTTTTTTGTTAAAAATTATTTTATCTTCCTTCCAATTTCACTATCAACGGGTGGTGATCCGAATCTATCACGGTACTCCCTCTTGCCCCTGTATACGTAAATTCTCCTTCTTCATCTCCTCTTATGTTCATCTCCCATCCTGTCTCCCTCAGGGCCTCTAGCAGGACTTTCTCCTCTGCATTTTGTTTTTTGTCCTTTGAGTTCCTTCTCCCCTCCTCTCCATCTTCCTCCCTCTCCGTCCCTCTCTCTCCTTCCTCTCCTGTTCTCGCATTGAAATCCCCTCCTATTATCGTTATTCTTTCGTCTTCTATATCTTCCATTCGTATTCTTAACTCCTTCATCTTTTCCTCTATATCTCCATTCACATACACCCCCACTACCTTCCATTTCTCCTCCCCTCTCTTGAACTCCGCTGTCATCATTCCACTCTTTCCCTCTTCTTTTGTTATCTTTCCTTCTTCTTCCATTAGGGTCTCCTTCATTTCCATTAGCATTCCTCCCATTGCCCTTCCTTTTTTGTTTTTCCTTTCTGCTAGCTGAGCTTCTCACTTTGGCAGCCACTCTTCTACCTTTTCCCATTCTTTCTGTTCTAACCATGTCTCCATTAGTATTATCACTTACCACTGCTTAATCGTCTCCCAGAAGTCCTCGTCTTTGTTTCTAATTCCCGCGCAGTTCCAGAATCCTACCTCCCACTCCTTCTTTTCTCCCCCGGTCCTTGCGGCCATCCCCTTTCTCTTCCCTCCCTTCTCTTCCTCTATCCTTTTCTCTGTCCTCTTCTTTTTCTTCCCTTACTCCCCTTCCCCCTTGTTGGATGGTCCCTCGTTATTTTCATGCCATTCTTTCCCTCCCCAATCTTTCAGAATTTCCCTTTCCTCGTCCCGCCTCCACCATTTTCCTTCAATTCTGATTCCCACATAGTCCAGCCATACATTTTTTCCTTTTTCTCTTTCCTCCTTTGCTATTCTTCTTAACCCCCCCTTCTGCAAACCCTGCTGGTTTCACCTCCTCTATCTCATCCTGCACTCCAATCGCTTTCAGTAACTCTTCTGCTCTCTCCTTCATCTCTTTTCACTTTTATCCCTTTAATTATTATGTTTTTCTTCTTTTCCTCTTTTTCCTTCCATTCCCATTTCCTCTCTAAATCTCTTAGTTTTTCCTTTACTGCTTCGTCTCCTCTCTCCTCCTTTCTTTTCTCTGCTGCTCCCCTTTCCAGTCTTTGTATTTTCTCTTCTAACATTCTCCACTTAGTGTTTTCCTTTTCCCTTCTTTCGAGTTCCTTCACTTTTTTCCTTAACATTTCCATTTTCTTTTCCAAGTCTCTCTTCTGTTCCAACCATTTGTCCTCCCGTTTTTTTCATTTCCTCTTTCAGCTTTCCTATTTCTCCTTTTATTCCTACTATCTCCTCCCTCATTTCTTTCCCCAATGACCTTGCGCTTGCTTCGATTCTTTCTCCCAGTCCTTTCTGGCCTTCTCCTAACTTTTTTATCATCTCCTTTAGCTTCCCAATTCCTCCTTCCTCCTCCACTCTCTCTTTTTTCTTTTCTGGGGACCTCTCCACTAATTTACTTCCTCTGAACATCCACCCTTCTGTTGGAGAACTGCCTCCCCCTCCTCTTTCCCTCTCCTCCTCCTCTTCTAGTTCCGTTTCTCCCTTCCGTTTCCAGATTTCCTCTATGCTGGCCATATTTCCTACGCTCAGGCTCTTCTTCCCCCTTTGTCTACTCTTCCTGTCTCTTCTTTTCCTTCCGCTGTTTTTCTCTCCTCCTTCGTTTCTTCCATCCTTTGCTGCCAGGTGTCTCTCTTTACTCCTGCCTCTTCCTTGTCCCCAGGAATTCATTATGCTCGCCGGTTTACTCTCCTGTCTCCTAGATGTCTCTCCCTACTCTCTCCTGTGGCGTTCACCTATGCGCGCTCCTGAAGCGCTCTCTGGGAGTAACTAGTTTAAGTTAGGCTAGTTAGTTTTAGTTGCTAGATTAAGTTGTACATAGACTTTTAGTTGGTAAGCCTAGTTGGTAGAAGACGCGCTAAATGGCGAAGGTGAATTCCCATTTCCAAAAAGAAACGCCAAAGAAGTGAGACGTGATACTCTCGTTTAAATATTGTGCAATAAAGAATCAAGTTTTTTTGTGCAATCAGTGGGAACAGCTTAATTACCGCTCCTCTCTTCCTTATCGACGAACCGAAGTCCCCACACTCCTTCCTCGCGTTGCCGCGCTTTCTTAGCTTCTGTCTCCTCCTAACCTCTCAACGGATGTGCATACTTGCTGTCACTTTTCTTCTTACTAGCACTGTTTCGGCTTTTCACCGTTCTTCCACCCTTTCACTCCTTTTCTCGCTCACTGTTTCTACTATCCTTAATCCCCCTTTGTCCACTTTTCTACCTTTTTTAATCTATAATTGTCCCATTCAGTACGACACGCGTCCGTTCGCAACCGATACCACCGAGACTCTCTCCTATATATTATTATTTTATATAATTATTTTATATTACATTATTATTATTATTGTGTTACTTATATTACTTATATATTATAGTACGAATGTTTGAATTAAATTCATTTTTATTTTCTTTTGAACGCAGTAGCTTTTTTGTGTTTTTAATTAAATATGCTCTCTTAGAATTTACCTTTCCTATATGCTATCATTGTGATTGAAATTTATGAATCGTCTTATAACATCAAATTCGAGCGATACGCGAAACAGACACGCCAAGGTCACTGGAAAGGGGTATCGCTTGACTCAACGTTTAATGCATTAACGTATGGGGAAACTGTGATGGCTTTTTTCTAGGGAAATGGTTGATTTCCGACACATGGTTCCTTTCAGACTTTTTATTCCCTCGACGAGCACTATACGATAAGCCAATAAAAAAATTTGACCTTAAAATTAAAGGTCAAGGTCAATTTTGTGATTACTTTTTTTTAGAGATCTCCATCGATGCAGAGGTGTAAAATCACCACACGTGGCCCGTGACATTTCGTTTTTTACACCTTGTACATCGTCAGTACAGAGGATAAGGAATAGGGGAATAAATGACAAGAATGTAATTAGCGGAAAATATTATTTATTACAATGAAAATCACACAATAGAACGAAAAATGGCTGTAGTTCCGAATTGCACCGGTGGCCGATCGACATGGGCTTTGGAGGGGTGAGAGGGGGGAGGGAGAAAACCCCAAATGTAAAACGGTATCCACATCAACCCAGTAGTTTCGGAGATATTAATTAAAAACTTTCAGCAGAATACATAGAACTTTGCCTATACAGACGTGACTAACACAACCATCCCCGCTGTAGAAACCGTGGTCAAGTGTCAAGCAGCCGATCACACAGTAGGGGCTCTCGACATGAGTAACTACAGGGTGTCCTATATGTATAAAGCGCACTATTTTGTAAACTGTGGCTCACGTTTACATTAATCTCGTCGTTTTACACGTTTTGATGTGCCGAATACGAATATGATTTTTGTTTCTGATGGAAATAACAAGCTGTCGAGATATTCGCAAACAACTTTTTTACTAATACACAGAATTTTCCCAATGAGCGTGGATCTAAAACATACTCACAAGCATAGCTATCTTTTTACATATACGAACAGAAGGTAACACTTTGTTCGTCTATGAATATTAAACGGTAGTAGGTGAGGTTAGGTTAGGTTATATTTCCCGGGGCGGTGCTGCAGGAGTAGGGGCAAAGCCCCTCCCCCGCCTTAAGACACGAGAATAATTATTTTTAAAAATTGAAATATTTTATCTCGCTTACCAAAAATGCAAAATAAAATATTAAATATGCTGTAATACAAAATACACTACTGAAAAATACGAGATACATATAAAAATATGAAAATATAGTGTTTTTTAGTACGCATTTGGGATGACAGAAACCAATATCATCTATAAAGCGATTGACACCACCACGAAGTCTTGTACTTCCTTATGATCAATTAAGCTAATAAGGATAATAATTCGATTGTCTTATATTAAATACGAGATTATATTATAAGCAATGTCTAATACGATTGTCTGTACAATTGTGAAGCAAATGTGGTACGGTGCCTGTATGAAAGTCACTGAACTGGTCGGAGACTCGAGATCCCGTTTACTCAAAAGACAAGTTAATTTAACGGCTCGAATATCACAGTTGAGAACGAATCGGTGGGACTACGTGGGCTGTTTGAAGACTCTGTAACGAATGAATGTCCGTGTCAAAAACGTCCAGCAAGAAGCCGTAGAAAGGTAGTCCGACGAGGCAGGGGTTGACCAAAGGAGCCAATTAGTAAACGTTTTGAGTTTAGCTAATGGCGATAGGCTGAACTGTTCAGCAAATCAGCTCGTCGGACATTTCCCATATATGCTGCCGGAAAAACCCAGCAGGCTGTGATGCACGTGGAAATTGCCAATTTTTTACGGCTTGAACCGGCAGTAGTTGGGGGAGAGGTAGGGACTTGGGAGGTGGTAGCGGGTTCTGGGGATGCGCAGGTTTCTGGGGTAGGTGAGGAAGCACGAACTGTCCGTGATGTCCGAGTCCGTTTGGATGGCCACGGTCATCATGGCCGGCCGGCTGGACCTCTGCATAGCCGCGGCTGCCGCGGCGAGGGCCTCCTTCCTCGAGCCCTCCCTCCTCGGCCCCTTTCTCCTCGGAGAGGGGTTAACGCGAGTGGTTTTTCTGGGGTTTTACCGTAAGGGTAAAACTATTTTTGTAATGGTGTCTTCTATTTTCTAATCGGGGCCATGGTGGTCTCTAAATTTATTTTAATTGGATCTTAGTTAGTTTATTCTTTTCGGGGGGGGGGCTCTTGTCGGTCGCTACATTTGATTTAATTTTCATTTGTTTTTCGTTTAGATTTTTATCGGGGTCGTGGTATGTTAAGGAACATGAAGGGAAGTATGAAGGGTTGGTAGTTTAGGGTGACGTTCAGTGGAGGGTTGGTTGGGAGTTTTCGGGGTCTTCTTCGTCCTCGACGAGGGGGTGGAGTAGGAATAGGTTGGGGATTTATTAGTTGTGCGGGGGTGGGTCGTGGTAGTTGTGGACTGGGTAGATCTGAGGTATTGGATGAGGGTCCTGCTTGGGAAGGGTGATACGAGGTTGGACTAGGAGAAGGGTTATCGGAGGTGGATTCATCAAGGTTTGGAGGGGTTCTGAAGGGTTTAAACCTTAAGGTCTTTTATGTGGACTTTGGGGATTAAGTTACCGGCCCAATCTTTTAATTCGTATGCTGCGGGGGAGAGGATTCTGGAAACGGTATAAGGACCTGAAAATTTAGGGGCAAGTTTGGAGGCTATATTTTGGACTGTGGAGGAAAGGATGTGTTGGCGTCTCATGACGAGGTCACCACTTTGGTAACGCTCGTCACGACGCCCATGGTTATAATAGGATGCTTGGCGGTGGGAGGCTCTTTCAAGGTTTCGGTGGACAATGTCGTATAGAAGGGTTAAACGGGACATTCGATTGGACCATTTTTGGGGGTTTCGGAGGGTTAATAGGGAATCCGGGTCGGTTTCGTGTCGTAGGTTTTGGATGGGACGGGGCTTACGGCCAAAATTGAGGAACGCAGGTGTTGGCGAAATTCTCTAGAATCGTTTACTCAGCGGCGAAAACAGTTCGCCGGTGCATCGTTGCCTGTAGCGACAGCAGCTCTCAGACACGCATTGTTCTAATCGCCCCCTCCCATCGCAGAAACCGAAACGTTAGACGCCATTTACCGGTGTCTCTCTTCTAGTTCGAACTCTCAACAAGTGAACACATGGTTCTGATCTGTACACGCGAATTTCACAACTAGAGTTCAGTCCGCGCTATTTCTCTATAGTATTTGTCCACTCAGCGTCCTCGCAATTATCGTTGGTGTAATATTCTTTTGAACTCGCAATTATTGTAAACTCTGTTGTATATATTTCCTATCATTCGTGTGACTCGTGAACTCTCTTGAACTCTCTTGTATATTTCTAATTTCTGTGTTAATAAAGGGTATAGCCGGGTAAGATGGTCAAAAGTGCCCCCAAACCAAATTCGACTTGCTATGAACCATTCGATAGGTGATCAAAAAAACCAGTCTGTGCCAGGTTTCAACCCTGTATCTCATCTGGGAGGGTAGTTACGGGTAAAAATGTAATTGCGAGGTTTTTGGCCAATTTCTCCTATTTAATGACTGTTACGTCGCAAGCGAGCGATACGGCGCGCGCGCGACGTACAAAATAAAAAAAACGAAAACGAATGTGAACGTTAGTTAGCGCTGCCACCAGTCCTAACCGTATTTGACGATGTTGGGTCAACCACGGTTAGAACAATTTAAAAAGAATCAAATTAAATCAAGTTAAATCGAATTAAGATTCTGGATTGTTTGAGTCCGTCAATACTCTGGTCCCATACGGGCCCCTCGTGTGAATTCGTGCAAGAAGGTAGGCGTGTTAATAAAGGAAAATGAAAAGGGGTGTTTGAACGCAAATTATCAGAAATCAAATATGGGTAACATGTGTATAATTTCAGAAAAATAATTACAACAAAATGGTTTGATTAACAAAACGTTCGAGCTGTATGAAATATACGGAAAAAGAAATTAGAATATGTTAGAACGGTTATTAAATTAGAACAGATATTGTAGTGTCACTGTAATGAACTTTAACGAGAAATTAACAGGGAAACGATAGAATTATTTGCAATAATGATGATTCGAACTTCGGTGTTTGTTTTACAATGATTCGATAGCGATCGGAAAAACGAAGAGACAGTCCCAGTTGGATACCTCCAAGACAAACTGTCTCGTGGGCCGTCTTCGTTTGCGCGTATTCGGGAAATTTTAGTTAATTAAGAAATTCTTAATTAAGAACGATCTAGTGGGATACTTCCACGACTGGCAGTCTCATAGATCGCCGTTTTGCCTCACTCGACACCAGATTCGCTGTGTTAAAGTATAGACTGTGCAACTCACCAATTCGATGTAATATATCTTGTATATAATATTTAGCAATGGACCGTATACGAAAAGCTGTGGTGGTGGTCTAGAAATCTGGAAGGCGAAGAAGAGATGAGAAAAATTGTCACTTGCACTACGCGTTCGTGTTTGAGCCTTGCATATTTACGGAAAACGAGATACGATTAGAAGCTAATACGAAAACAACGCGACGCGAAAAAAGAATATAATTAATTTGCGAACGAAATAAAAACGAAAGAGAAAAGATAGGAGTTGAAAAGTGTGAAAAGATTTTAACGTATCCGTATGAGTCTTTGTCACAAAACCGCGAACCGAAACACTCTCGACACTCTGCCTTGTCAAGGACTTTGCCGAGCAATCTAATTACACGATTTTATTAACAACTATGTCTCTACGCGAACACGGGCTCCCCGTCACGTACCTTACGATTTTTCGACGAAGAGTCATTTGCCTCAGTCAAGCGATCGTGTCTCAGGGTTCGACCCGCGATCATGGGCTCAAAGTGGGGACATCATTGGCAAATCAGGGTACGTGTTGAAGGGGAAAGCCCGCACGCATTGGTTTTGACTAGACGCGTTTCCCGAGTTCTCATCCCTCCTTGACCTTCGTTCCGGCTATGTCTAACGTTGACTTTCTTTCTTTTACCCCTACAGCGCTACATGAATTCTGTGCGTCGCAATTTCCATACTTTCGGGAATCTTCGTAATGGCTTCTATTTGAATTTATTCGTTTCCAGATTAATTAATGAAGCTTTTACAAATGAAACCCTGGTGTCGACAAAACATTTTATTTGATTTTTAGTTTATTCGAAGTATTTCATAACCGATGTTCGTTATATTACAGCTTTTCACGCATATTACACGCATTTTCCAGTTTTCGTGACAAGGGATACGATGTTTTACTTTTAATAAATTATGGGAGTATTTCATTCGCTTTTTAACGAAGATTTACGCGTATTGAATATATATTAATTTTCTAGGAATTGTTTCAGAATATTTCTTATAAACGCTTGGCAGTTTTTGTTGCCTATTCGCGACAATACGTGTTTATGATCCTTGTCGACCGTTGCCTCGAACGTTCTTGAACGTTGGTCGACGTTTTCAAAATCCCAGTGGTTGTCACGCAAATCTCGATTTCTATTCCCATTCAAATCGCTTCATATCATTCAGATCGAATCACTTTCATTCTTTATTGTACTCATTCTTCCGTGGAAGGTCCGGCTGACGCATGTTCTACAGGTATGAGTGGTACCCGCTCGTAATGTAGGCAAAAATCGCATTTTCCCTTATTCTGCGCAGTTAGGCTGGGATATCTCCATGTGCATCGCACTACTTAACCGCGCGGCGAAGGATGTTTATGATACCTCTCTTCGACCTTAAACGGTTTCGAATTTCAATACATTTCTAGTATGTAGTTCCAACGGCAATCGTCCCAAGGAAGATTAATTTGTATTATTTGAAAGAGCTAATTATAGCCTCCTTTGTGTGCCTCGCCTGGGATTATCCACGTGCTGCGCACCGACGAGGTACACAAATTCAGTATATTAAACGGTTAAACTATTCAACACTATCAGAAAGAAGATGAAAATAAATGTTAGCCACGGTCGGATTATTGAAAATAATCTGGACGTAACATGACATTCGAAAATTCTGAAAAAAATCAGAGACATTTCTATTTGTGAGGCACATATTACAGAATTTTTTCAGATTTGTAAATTGAAAACTGAAGCCGTGAAAAATCAAAAACGTCAAAAAATGCTGAAAAATGGCGATTTTGTATAGAAGGAGTCGCGGATCTAGATTCATATTGTTTTCAGAAGTGTAACATCCCGCAGGAAGAAGAATAAATACAAAGCCCATCATTATTAATTATTAAAATATATATTTATTTTTTTTTTTTTAGTTTTTATACAATTAAAGTTGTAACACTTCGTTTTTTTATTATTGTATTAACATGATTCAGATTAACAATTATATTCATATTTAACAAATAGGAGAAGAATCTTGTATTTATTAATATTTATACTTAAAAATATACATCGATAATTACCGCGTCGATAATTCTACCGCGTCGATAAAAGATCGACGTAGGACACATAGATAGAGATAGGAATAACGCGTAGAAAGAGATAGGAATAGAGCGCAGAATAAAGAGAGATAGCACTACGCATAGACAGAGACAGCGATACGCGCGGAGTCACGTACACTCCGGTCAAAGTCCAAACACTTCCGGTATCGAAAACGCGTGTAGAAAAAACTGCTACGTAAGCAAATCTCGGGTATAAATACGAGCGTGCCGCGAGGAGCTACTTCACTTCGATTTTGATCGTGGTCCGACACGGATCTATGATACGATTACTACATAGGTTTCCAGTAGCTTAGATTCTTTTGTCGGCAAGGCGGCAAAGGTTCCGCGTCAGACCCGAAGCGCTCGACCACCGGTTCGCAGCGGTTCTCATACGTGTCAGGTTCGCTACCAAGCTTAACGAGCGAGCGAAAGCCGAAGCTCCTTGGATGCGGCCTATCAGTACACTGGCTCTAGAGCGACGATACCATCCTGCAGTGTTCGCAACCAAGCTTAACGAGCGAGCGAAAGCAGAAGCTCCTTGGATGCGGCCTATCAGTGACGGCTAAGTTGCCCAGAAATCGTACTGCGGCCGAACGGGTTAGCTCCTACAGTGTTGGAACGGATCCACGCCAATTTTCCGACAATCGAACAATTTATTTGAATAATTTTATTTTATAAATTCAAGTTATAGATTTAGAATTTTCATAATCGTATCTAGAGACGCGTTCACTAATCAATTAATTTTTCCTTTGTATTTTATTTTAGGTCAAACTATTTTGTAATTACTAATCTGAATTTTCTTTTATTGTATTTTATTTTAGCACAAACGCGATTGTTATTCTTTTCTTTATATTTTTTTTTATACAGGGCGCACTCACTGTACTTAACTAATATAATTATTTTCTTTTGTATTTCAAGAACAGGGCGCAACATTTGTACATTGATTACATTAATTCTTTATATTATTTTCATTACTTACATTTTTATATAACTCAAATAATTACTTACCTTTTCTTATATATATACATATTATAACCAAACACAACACATTTTTCTTGAATAAACACATAATTATTTGAGAAAGGAATTAACGTTGGATTTCACTCCTTTACCGCGCACAACCCGAACCTATGATCCCTTTATTATATAATTATTTACGAGTCGCCTTCTTATAGGGAACCGCTCTCCCTTCGCGTCGGTGCAGTAGCGTACTCGCGATAATAATTCCGGGACGTTACAGAAGTGTATATTATCGATACTATTATTCTCAATTTTTTTGAGAATATTTGGTCAGGTGCGCCATAGTTAAAAAAATTAAAAACCGAGTTTCTCGCTGTTTTTTGCGTGTCAGAGTTACTTGTACTGCGAATTTTCGTCTGTTCTTTATCAAGTAAGTGTGTTATACAATGTTCAATGTTTTTACGTACAGTGAAACGCAATAAGAATTTAAAAAACTAAATAAACCAGAATTATTGAAAGTACTTTATGTGAGATATATATCAAAAAATCGAAATGTTTCCCAACGGTGTCGGTGATCCAGCGGTTAAGGCGCCTGACTGCTAAACCGCTGCTAGGCTTTTCGTAGGTTCGAGTCCACTCAAGCTGATTTGTTTTTTTCTGAAAAATACATGTTTTTCAGTTTCGTTCAGTGCAGAAACATTAAAAATCACATAATACAGTAAGTGTATAAAAGTTCTTTTAAAAATTGAAAGTGTTTCTCATGTTATCGCACGAAATATGTCGAAAATATCGGTTGTTTAATTTTTTAAACACGGCGCACTAGACTGAAAAATCTGAAAAAAATTGAGGACACTAGTCATGCTAATATCTAACAACTGTAAAAGTAAAAATGTAGTGTCTCGAAAGTTTATACCCGAAATCTCAATTTTTCGACTTTTTTTTGCATTTTTGATTTTTCACGCCTAGGATTTGCAACCGAAAAATCTGAAAAAATTCACAATCATCAAGAAACATATCCAGAATATTTCAGATTTTCTTCTGAAACATGTATTTTACAGAAAAAAAATCAGCGTGAGCGGACTCGAACCTACGAAAAGCCTGGCAGCGGTTTAGCAGTCAGGCGCCTTTACTGCTGGACCACCGTCACCGTTGGGAAACATTTCGATTTTTTGATATATCGCACATAAAGTACTTTCAATAATTCTGGTTTATTTAGTTTTTTAAATTCTTATTGCGTTTCACTGTACGTAAAAACATTGAACATTGTATAACACACTTACTTGATAAAGAACAGACGAAAATTCGCAGTACAAGTAACTCTGTTACGCAAAAAACAGCGAAAACCTCGGTTTTTAATTTTTTTAACTATGGCGCACCTGACCAAAAATTCTCAAAAAAATTGAGAATAATAGTATCGATAATATACACTTCTGAAAACAATATGAATCTAGATCCGCGACTCCTTCTATACAAAATCGCTATTTTTCCGAATTTTTTGACATTTTTGATTTTTCACGGTTTCAGTTTTCAATCTAAAAATCTGAAAAAATTCTGTAATATGTGCCTCACAAATAGAAATGTCTCTGATTTTTTTCAGAATTTTCGAATGTCATTAAAGCGGAGAAATTGGCCAAAAACCTCGCAATTACATTTTTACCCGTAACTACCCTCCCAGATGAGATACAAGGTTGAAACTTGGCATAGACTGGTTTTTTTTGATAAGCTATCGAATGAGCCATTGCAAGTCGAGTTTGATTTGGGGGCACAACCAATGGATCAGGGAGTAATTGCAAAATTAAAAACTGTATATCGGCAGAAAATACTACGTCGTATTTTGCAATACGAACATGGTGTACAGGAGTTTCATGCAAAACATAATATTAAAGAGTGCATTTATATGCTCTACGAATCATGGCTGGACATTACATCTGTAAATATAAAAAAAAGTTGAAACAAAATTCTAGCAAGGGATCCTAGCGAAAAAGAAGATGAAGCAGCAAATGTGGTAAATACTTCTATACATTCAGAAATAAGTGATACAGTAAAAGCTGGATATATGCAACAAACATTGGGACCCAGACGTTGCATATATCCAGTCGATGTGTCTAATCTCGGGTTACACGCGACGAGCAGCCAAGCGTGAACGTAGAAAGGGACAGACAGTGGAGGAGAGAGAGAGAGGTCTAATGATCAAAGGAAAGAGCCGAAACGTATCGGTGTGACTAATACTAATTCAATTATAAAACTTTTTTATTTTTGACTTTTTTTTACTGAAATTTTTACTAGAAAGAAAAAGAAAGAAGCCTGGAAGACATTCGCGGAAGGAATCGATCATCGCACCAGCAACTCAACAATTTGGAAAAACATTAAAAAACTACAAAAAGTCATAGTAACCAACAAACAACCGAACCATTCGATGGATAAAAGGAAACAGCTGGAGACAGCCGAAATAAAGAAAATACTTACCAGGGCTGACGAACCGATGAGGGAGTCCACTGGAAATATCCCTGAGAAAAATCCCAGTCAGAATCTATTACAAGAGGAAGCCATTGATGCGAAAGATATAACAGAGGCGTTGGCCGGTACAAGAAAAACATCAGTACCAGGTGAGGATGGCATAGATTATTTTATAATCAACAAAACAAATAATGATTTCAGAAAGGTTTCGGCATCCTTATATACCAAAGTTTGGAACACTGGAAAAATCCCGGAAAAATGGAAAAGGTCCATGGTTGTGCTATTGGATAAACAGGGAAAAAATGCACATAGACTGATAGCCCTTACGAATTGCAACGGGAAAATAATGGAGGAAATCGTAAATACCAAATTGGTGGAATGGGCTGAAAACAACATCATGCATGAATGGCAGAACGGTTTTAGGAATAACATAATTTTTAACAAAAAACGAATCCGACTTCATGATACTAAAAAGTGTCAAATAATTTCTACTTCATTTATACCAATATTCCATAGCTATTAATAATATTACCCGAATATACGATGCTGCCAATAACGATTTGATTGCGGTATGGCAAACTTGGTAATTAATAATTCGCAAGAAAAAAAATTCTTAACGTTATAGATACGGCAGAAAATATTCGTAATTGTAACGATTGTATCAGAAGTTGGTAGCACTTCTGATGTACATGTATACTGCTGTGGCCACAGTCGACTCTAGTACTAGCCGTGCTGAAGTAAAAATGGCAACACCGCGGGAGTCCGGTCTGAATATATCAACACCTACCCTACTCTATCTGCCTCCCGGACTCCCGGACTCTCAGCCAATCAACGTCGTCAGACTCCCGACTACTCTCTGGACTTCACATAACCTCTTTGGTTTCGTTCCAATAATTTCGCTTGTTTCAAGGTTTTTATTAACTTATATATACGTTTATCAATTCTTAAATGTTTCAATTTGATCCAAAGATGGTTTCATTTTGCTTCATACCTAAATTTTCTTGAAACCACTGTAAATATTTCAAATATCATGCTTCACAACACCAAACTACTTTGAGAGTACACAAAATATATATCACATTTATAACAATTTTATACTACCACATCACTTCTATTTGCCATAGTTGCAACGTTTATATATTGTTTATACATAATTAACACA